AGGCTGTACAGATAAGTAAACCAAGGCTGGATTTTGAGCTCACTGGGAGTTTTCACTGTTTTGTTTTACAGTTCGTGGAACATGGACTCCGAAGTTACTCTTTTGTTATGAAATGAAGAGTTTTGTGTTAGTCACAAGACTATGAAGGAGTGATTATAGAAAAATACTTATACCATGCATAAACTGAGAGAATGTTTAAATATTTCATAGAATATTTTTCTACAAAATGCTGTTAGATCTCCTGACTGATAAATTTATCCACCCATTTTTGATGACTATTCAGTCCCTGGAACCTGACCTGGGGTTGGGATTTGCCGGATTGTGGCTTCCTTTTTGGTATTTAAGCCAGTGCTTTATAAATCTAAGGTTCCATTTTTGAAGCTGAGAGTAAAAAAATCAACTTTTTCTCCTTCCATCTTTAATGATGGGCACATTTCTGCTGGTATTGTATTATTTGCTTTCTAAAATATGTCGAGTCCAGGTTGTCTTACTTTCTTAAGAAACATAATTTAAAAAGACAAAAGAGCAAGCAATAGGGCCTGGGGAGGTGGAGGAGCTAGTTCATGCTGTGCTTTGCTTTGTCTGATACCCTCCAGAGTCAAGGAGTTCAAGGGCCAGTAGGTAGTGCTGCCCACAAAGATCTCTCCAACTCATGTGCATGTTGCCAGCACATTTGCAATATGTAAGGTGTAATTGTTAAATGAAGAATAAAAATTTTAAAGCGTATTCCTGATTTCTCCCAAATTCACATTGTGTCATTTTTTACCTTCTGTCTCACATTTTGGATGCTTGGTTTATATAGACATTATCTGAAGTGAGGAACAGATTAGCAAGAGAGTGGTTAAAAGTATGCATTGCAGTTCTAGAGACACAGACCACTGGTTCATCTCTAAAAAATTCTCACTTTTGAAGGAGGTTTCATTTGTAAAATTGACTTTGTATTTTATAAGCAGTGTTTAAATTCATTGGTGATAAATACGCATGTTTGTATAGTAAAATCCCATTTTTTACATAATGCTGTAATGGAAATGGCAGTTTTATGAAATGAAAGTGACTAGTAAAAATCTGAATGATGTTCATAAGCCTTTACATCATTTTTATTGAGGTTTTTGTGTATTCTAATTCATTAATACAGGGGAAAAGGAGAACACTAACATGGTTTATCTCCTATAATTACTCAAATTGAATAGAATTTATTTTCAATAAAATTCTTGGAGTAAATTGTCTGGAGTGGGGAAGAGGAGGATTGGCCTGTTTTTATGAAATGTCTTGATTTTTACCCATGGGACTTTGCTGTTTTACCAGTGATACTGTTCTGTTGCATATATTTTCGGCATAGCTGCCTCCAGATTTTTATGAATAAAAGCTTTGAAAGCCCAAGAAATCTCAGTATGTAAAGACCCAGGATCGAGTGTTAAGGGAGAAATATGGGCTGTTTATTTTATCCTGTTTATTGCTACAAATATTGCTTACTTTTAATAATTTAGACTACCTTTTATGTGACTCATAAAACCTAAGGTACTTTCTACAAAAAGCTTAGTGTTTACAGTTTAAATTGGCTTATTTTTGTGGAGTACTTTAAAAGAAGTCAGGGTAAGGAATGATCAGATATTTAAACCTGGGGTCCCCCACCCCAACTTCAAAAAGGAGTCGGGAAGAGACACTAGAAACTGAATTGGAAACTTGTAAATGTTATTAATCTCACACAGTGAGAGAGCTTCTTTTACACATATTTGGGCATGTGGGCCATCATAGGTTCTCAGCCTTCTGACCTGAAGATGCTTCTGTGTTCTCTAGGCAGAATCTTGTTGAAACTAATAACTTTAAGCTTGAATCTAGAAAGCTTTCAGGCCTGATCATTTTTGAGTCTTACTCAAATAATTATTGAGTTCCTTGGGTCACTTTGTCCACCTAGTTTCTTTTCTCTAGCACCATAGGGTTGGCTTGAGCTAGAGCCATGCTTACATGGGGTTCTGATTGGCTAGCAGATGTTGTTATGTGAGGGGCAGGTGATCTGTTTGTGCCCATTAGGTTTGTATGTCTTATGGCTTTCTTTGGCCTTAGAAAAATCAGACGTGTTTTTAGTTAATTCTTTTTTTAGCCTGTATTTACTGAAGTGACCCCCACCTTAAGCGAGCAAGAACCTTGGTGGGGAATTACACTTTCTCATCTTCCTGTGAGTTAGCTTGCATGCGTTGGAGGGTGGGACAGGGGAGAGTTCCAGAGAGCTGCTGTCTCTAATCCCCTGAACACTGTCTCAGCACCACCTGTCCTTTTTTCTTCCTGGAGGCCAGGAACCTGCAGCAAAGATGGAATGTCATCTGTAGCCACAGGATACCTGCCTCTTCTAGACTCTCAGTAGGGAGCTGACAGAGGGTGATCTGTGATGGAGATAAAAGCTAGGATGAAATACTAAGACTTCACCCTTTCCCACTTCTGAATATAGTTCCACCTCCAAACCTTCAAGAAGCCAAGACTTCTTGGAAAGGTAAGCAAATGGAGAAACTCTCTTGGGAGCATGTAGATCTTGAAGGTGCTGCCCAGAGTGAGAATAGTTTTTAGTGTAAGTGATCCCCAAACAATAGAGGATGCAGTAGTACAGTCATTTCTGCTGTCATGGACATATGCATTCCTACAGTCACCACACTATCCAAGACAGTACAGTAAAAAACCACAGGACTAATGGAGGAAGTTAGATTAGGCACCCAGTACTCAAAAACTCTGCTGGTCACGACACACACACAAAGATAGGGATAGTAAGAATAGCAAATGGTACAGTAGTTAGGACACTTTGCCTGGAAAAAGACCCAGAGTTCACTCGTGAACATGGGCCTCAGAAGATTTGAAGACCATGAGTACTGTGCTGTAGAGGAAGGAGGAGTGCAGCTTACAGCCTATGTGTGTGAACAAAGGTGGCCTGTGTGGGAGTGGTTGGCGGGGGGCAGGCAGTCTGGGGGGCTGTGATCATTGTGCTTCTTTGCAGCTAGGCTCAGTTGGACACAGTTTTACCTAGATTTCCACGCAGATGAAATTATGCATAAGCAAATGTGAAAATGGTTTTATGCTCAAATTGTCTCCCTCATATGCACATTAATCATATTTGGACAAGTTTGTGCTATCCTATTGAACTGGCTGTAGCTTACTTGATTTTGGAACCAAGTGCCTTTTCCTTTCCTCCTGTCGACCATTATTGATTCTTTAAGTTGCATTTAAGTTAAGCCAATATCAGATTGATTTTTTTCATACTTTGAGCAATTTTAGAGGAAACCAGCCTGAGGTTTTAATTTTGCTGGATGTAGTTTACAGGTAGTTTCCTTCTCGGTGAATATGTACATCAGGTCCTTTAGTCACCATCAGGCACAGTGCTGGGAATACAGAGACAGGTGAAGTATGATCCTTGTCCTCAAGAGCTGAGAGTCTCATGGAAACATCCAGAGCACACATTTAAACATCTTTGTTGGGTCTTCTGAGATGGGGATAAATGAGCCCTTACATATTTTTTGTGACCACAGGTGCACACCCCTCCTCACTCCTACCTCTTCCTTCCTTCTAAGAGTAAAAGCCAGAGGACAAAATGTGCCTGGGGAAAACATGGATATGACTCATCTGTTGAAAATATGTAAACTTGAAAAGGACCTAAGAGGTCTTGTAGTTCAACTCCTCCCACCTGACATTTTTTCCTTTTTTCTTTTCTTTTTTTGGTGAGACTGGTGTTTGAACTATGGGTTTTGAGCTTGCAAAGCAGGTGCTTAAACCACTTTAGTCACACCTCCAGTTCATTTTGCATTTTGCACTGGTTATTTTGGATATGGGGTCTCAAACTGCCAGGGCTGGCAGTGAACCACAATCCTCCGGATCTCAGCCTCTTAAGTAGCTAGGATTATAGGCGTGAGCCAGCCACGTGACTTCCATGTGACTTCTTAATAAGCTCAGTGATTCGGTGTCCACTTTAGATTGACCAATGAAAAACAGGTTTCAAAGTGATGTGATTAGTATGTTCTCATTTATGTTAATTGTCCTCCCTCCCTCCCTACACATATGTACACATGTACACACTATTATGCCATGTGGATGAGGGAACCCGTCTCCCAAATGGTTAATACTAGTTACCTCAGGGGACAAAAGAAAGCTTATTAACATTCTGTTTATACATCTTTCATTGTTTGGTTTGTTTTAAGAAGCATGTTTTACTTTTTTAATTAAAAATCTCATAAAGTAGGAAATGAATAAATAATAGTAATAAAAAATATCCTCAGGGCACAGAGCTTTGTTTCAGTCTTTCAGCAGCCTGGGTAGTTAAAACTGAACGTGATGTTTCTGGTGGGAGCTGCCCAGCAGGCTCTGAACCTCTTGGTATCGCCTGTGGTGGTTGCACTAATACTTCTTGCAGCAACCCTATATTAGTTCAGGTTTCTGTATTTATAGACTAGTAACATCCCCAAATCTTTCTGATTTTGGTTCACTTTTTTTTTTTGTGGCACTGGGGTTTGAACTGAGGACCTCATGCTTGCTAGGCAGCACTCTATCACTTGAGCCACTTCACTGGCCCTTGATAATCATTTGGGACCCAGGTTTAGTTCTTGACATACTCCCTGCTAGACTTTGCCTTGTTGTGGAAGTGAGTATTTAATGTAGGTAAGAACTGGTCTTAGACTCAGGCCATGTAGTTAAAAATCCTAACTCTTGCTAACTAACATGAAAACCTGTTAGTTGCCTCTCATCCTGAGCCTGCTTTCTTATCTATAAAACAGCAGTAATCATATTATTTGGAGGCCTCAGTGAGTTCCTGTGGGGTGGAGGCTTCCTGGGTGCCTGGTGAGAACATGACCGGGTGAGTATCAGCTGGTGCTGCTAGCCACCCACTGACATGCTAAGGAGATGAGCTGGGTGGGGTCTTGGCTCTTCCCTTACTCAATTCCATGTCCTTCCTACCAAACCAAGTCAGTCCTCCATTAAACTGTCCTCATGAAATCCCCACCAGTGTCTCTCTCACCCCACAGGTCCTTTCACCGATGTTGTTACCACCAACCTAAAGCTTGGTAACCCAACAGATCGAAATGTGTGTTTTAAAGTGAAGACCACGGCTCCGCGAAGGTACTGTGTGCGGCCCAACAGCGGGATCATTGATGCTGGGGCCTCCATTAATGTGTCTGGTAAGTCCTGAGACTGGAGGCCAAGGGCATAGACAGTGGGCTTTCTTTTAGCTTGGGGTCCTAGTGTAGCATAGTGAGGTAGGTAACAGATTTCTCTCCATCGCCACCACCCTCCATCCCTTGTGACAAAGCTGTGGTACCCACACCTTTGTTTTTCCATAATTAATGCCTCTTTGTTTTAATGTTTACACTTTGTGCCTCAATAGTCATAGCAAAATTAAAGTGGTAACTTTAGACTTTATTTCAAAATGAGTTTGGCTTTCATTCCCTTGAAATTAAATCTGCCCTTTGGCAATAAATAAAAAAGGGCTAAACAAACTTAATTTTACTTTGTGGGAGAAAGCTAAATGGAGTTATTTTCTTATTTAAGCTGAATGATTTCTGACATAAAGCTCATGTCATTTTCAATGATGGTAACTGCACTTTACTGATTGTGAAAAGCTAAGAGATACAGAGCTGAAAAAATTGGAATATATTCAAGGGTGTAAGTTTTGTGCTGTCTGATAGGTTTTTCCCCCTTCTGTCTGAAAGTACATATATTTTCCAGAGTCTAACTTTTGAAAAGATGCCGGTAAAGTGCCTAAAATGAGAATTGGGTTTCAGAATTAAGGAGGTGTGAGTAATGGGTTAGAGTTTAAATGTATTTTAGAAATGGAATAAACTTTCAGCTTAGTAGAACTTCTGGAGCCCAAAAGATGCTATGAGGGAGTGTGTTTATCCTCTGAACACCGGTGACTCTGTCACAGAGGCTCTGGCATCATTAGAAGCTACTCTTCATTTGAAGTAAGTACTTGTCTGGTTTTTTTCATGATAGATTTTGATTGTAATACATTTGGCTATTCATTTGACACCTAGAAGAAAATGATTCATGTCTTTGAAAAGATACAAGGTGTTTCATTATCTTATCATTTCTGCAAACTTTCGTTCCCTGCATCTGCTGGTGTCTCATTATGGTGCATCCACACCCACTCCCCTGTGTGTTCTCTGGGCACCTGAAAGGCTGGGTATGGACCCCGAACCAGACTTTTATCCAGGAGTAGCCAAGAGGGTAGGAACAGCATTGAATGAGGGCTTTCCGGTGCTGGACCTGTTCGTATTCTTTCCCACTGTCATGCCTGTCACCTGCCCTGTGAGGGATGCATTCATTGTTACCACTATTTTACTGAGAAGGAGCCTGATGGTCAGTGGATCATGAAGCTGGCGTGCAACAGAGCTGTGGTGCAGCCCATTCTGCTTGATGTGGAACCCATGCTTTGTGAACTGCAGCATGCTGGAGGAAGAGAGTGGCCAGTGTGTTAGCATTTGTAGCTCCTAAGTTTTTCTTTTGAAATTGAGGGCACCTGAAATCTTTCATTTTCTTCTTTTCAGTCACTTTTTGTCCTCAATTTCTTTGTCCATATCAAATTTGAGTTGTCAGCAGATGAAAATGACCGACTTTCAAAGTAAATTTGGGGGAAGCAGCAAGGTTTTCTAAAGAAAAACTCAGCAGAGAGTTGTGTAGTGAAGGTGTGCTCTCTGGTAGGAAATACAGTCGTGTGTGTGTGTGTGTGTGTGTGTACATCTCTCTTTCAGAAAGATCCTTTCCTCACTCATCATAGGAATGTTTTAAAAGTAATTACTACCTCTGAGCACTTGTTTTGATTTATCATTAGCTTCTTAATAAAGGCCAAGATTTGGTGGTTGTGGCCTTCTCTTTGCAGGTAAGAAAGTAAGACACAGAGCATGAATGTGGTCATTGAGGGTCATCAGCTGCATACTGGTAGAGCTGGCATTTGAAGCTAAGAATGTTGACTCCTGATCTAATATTATTCCTATGAGACTGTACTGTGTCAACAGACAGTGACCATACTTATTAAATGAATCTAAGCTGCAGTTTATTTGGATAAAAAAAGCAATGGTATGATGCAACATCCACATGTCTGCAGCTTCCCTATGAAACGAGATTCTGTTTACTTGGTATTTATGTCGATGCTGGGGAGTGGCCTGATGAAGCCACATGTTATCACATCTCCAGGGCAACCTCTCCACCTAGGAAAGGAGCTTAGCCCTATAGGTGGCAATTTTATATGCACCTTGTCATCTATTAGGCATGCATATCTTGGGATAAAAGCTCTGTTCTTGTCCAGGGGTTCTCCTGATGTGCAGCTAGGTGATGACACTGTGGTGAGTCAGAGTGCCCAGTTCTTTGGAAGAGAGAGTATCCTCAGGAGAAGGTAGATGCAGTAAACAGGCAGTACCAATTGTCCAAGGCTAGTCTTCTGTTTTCCTCAGGCACACGTGGCTAAGTGTGTGCCTGATTGGAGGTCAGAAAACCTGAGCAGGAAGGCCAACTCTGCTCTTTAGCCAGTGGCTGATCTTTGCCAACCTCTTCACCTCTGTAGGTTCTGGCTTTCTCACAGCAGATGGGGAGGATAATGTTCACCTTCCAGAATAGCTGCAGATTCTGCATTAACTGAGAGTGGGCTGCATGAGTGGGACTATATTATTCTTAAACCAGCTTGGACAAAATATGACTAGATTTGTTCAAGATAGATTGCACAATATTTGAATTGCCTTTTTAAAAATAGTCCTATACATTTTATTCATTCATGCACGTTTCCTAATTTTCAGATAAAATTAATGTTTTTTCTTCTTTGTATAATATGCATTTGTTTTATAGTGAAAAGCCATTAATGAATTTTTTAATATGATTTATAGAAAGGTAGCCATCAAATCCACTTAAAATCCTATCAGCATTGCCCCTGCTTACCACACAGAATGTCACAGCATACCTGAAAAGGACATGACAAATGCATTTCTCCCATTTCTGAAAACCCTTGGGAGGTGCTAACAATTAGGAAAGGTTATAAATCATTCCTTTAAAGGGAGAAAGAGGGAGGAAGGGAAAGAGAGAGGAGAAGTGGGAAGGATGGTGATGATGGTAGTACTGACCACAGAGGAAATTGGCCAGAGGGGCTGAGGTTTTTGTGGGCACCCAGACCTTGGTTGTGACCAACAGAGTCAGGCGTCTTTCAGCCACAGCCTGTGAAGCTTCTCTTGCCTTTCAGGTTGACCTGATATTCAAGGGAATACATTATGCTTCAAAAGTTTAGGCTCTGACCTAGCATGCTGATTTCTTTAGAGGATGGCAAATCACTTATTTATTTGGTCCTTTTAAAAAGTTGTCCCTTTTATAAACCCAGGTCATGAAATCACAGTTGCACAGAGGCATAACCTAAGCTTTTTGTATCAGAGTATAATGTGTGGACTTTCCCAAAGAGGTGTTCTGGTTCCTCCAACCTATTCTCAAGTCTTTTCTTTGTCTTTCTTGTCTCATCCCTATAGTCACCCCCTCTTTCTGTATGATGAAATGCAACAGGCAAGGGGTGCCAGCATGCTCTTTTTATTTAATTGACCCAACCATAGTTTGGGCTTTTACTCCTCGATGCACATACTCCACTCAAGCTGGTTCTATGTCACTGGGATCTGGGCCTCACCAGCATGCACTTGTGAAGGCAGAGGTTGCAGGAAAGGAAATTGGATCACCCTGAGATTGCAGATGCAAGGAACATAGAATTTTTTGCATTAATGAGTTGTTGGAAGCAGTGGGGGTTCTCCCCTTTTATTCTAGCTTTTCAAAATTAAGTCTGTTTTCTGAAAAGGAAAGTATTTTTTTAAGGTAGATAATTTCTGAAAATGTCTTTGTGATAAGCTGTTAGTGGTTGTGGATTTTTTTTATACTGCAGTTTAATAATGAGGGAGTTTTCCATTAATATTCTAAACCATGTTTGCTAGCGGATACAGCAGGTGAAGTGGTAAAATTATGGGCCCATCAAAAATACTTACGCTTCCTGTAATATGATATTAAGTTTAATATTTTTATAACCTTCACTGAATTCTAATTTCACTAAAGTAGCACGCACACTTCCATTTGCAGTTCAATTATGCACATTGGTTGCCTGTGTACCAAGCAAATTAGAAATGCAAAATATCTGTGGGGGGGCATTGGAAAGAGTCATTAAAGATACCAATATTTAGGTACAGATACACTTTACTAAGTGTGCCCTGGGAATTGAAAATGGATTTAAGACCAACAAACACAAATCTCCTAGTGTCTGAATCTGTATTTTTAAATTAGAATTCAGAGAATTAAGGAGCAGTATTCATTCCTGACATATAGTCCCTTTCAGCACTCTTTTCAATCTCACTTAAAGCATAAAGTTCTTCCAGTAAAATCCTGAGGACAGAATGAATATCAGTACTTCTTGGATGGAAACATTGGTTAATTAATGTAATTGGGTAGTATTGCAATTGATAATCAATCCTTTTAAGATTTTGCTGACTCAGTTTAATGTAGTATTGGTGGCCCTGAACCAGCCACCATGGGCTACAACTTTCAGGTGATTAGCACCAGAGTAAAAGTGTACCCAGCTTGCCAACAAAGAAGCCAGGCAGTTGTCCACCAAATGCTGATGGTAGAGGTACATGGGAGTTTTGGCTTCTTAACAGCAACTTTCTTTGTTTGATTTGCTTGTTTTGGAAGTCTCTGATAAGCACAACCTTTTTATAAATGGTTTCCATGAACCAGGCTTATTGGTCTCAGCTAAGAACAGTCACATTTATACTTAAAGGATGTCTTTAATCTTTTTCACTAGATTAGATTATGGTTTTAAACAAAATTTCCAACAAAAGTTAAGCTTAATTGTGCTTTTAAATATTTTTAAAGTTTACTGCAATATTTAGGTTTCTTAAGAATCCTCATTTCCATTTTTCACAAATATGACACAATTTATTTATCCTTTATCCTTTCAAAGGTTGTGATCTAGAAGACTGGTGAAGGACATGCAGTACCTCGCTAGCTGAAGGTGCCTTCACCTGTGCAGTGTGCTGCAGAAGCACTCAGCTGAGTTGCAGGGCAGCCAGCAGTGATGTTCTGTTCGTGAGCCTCCTGTGCTTGTGCACTCCAGCCTGCTCTCAACTCTTGACCGTCACTCACCCTTAGACTCACTGCTATACCCATT